AAGAGGGAAAGCGGCAACCTGCAGCGGACATTTCAGATGCCAGCCGAAGGCAGGGCTCAGCGGGAGCGGAGCCGCCGCAGGAGAAATGCTCTCCGTAACGAGCGACACCGAGATTCATTAGCTCCAAAGCCCCGTGGCTTTCGCTGGCAGCGACTCCGACCAACCAGCCCTGCAGGGCAGGAGCTCAGAATGCATTAGTTTAGCTAAAGGGAGGCGAGTTTTAACAAATTTGAGTCTACATTAGAAAGTCAGGATCAGGAACCCGCCGGGAAGCCACCGGAGAGAGGAACCCACTGCAGAGCAGGCCAGGAAAGAGAAGGCACGGCGTAGGGGACGGGAGCACCCACTGACACCCCGTCACCGGCGCAGGGCGGACTCGAGGGGCCGAGGCGGGCTGGGGCCCTGCGGACGGTCTACCCCCACCCCTGCGCCAGCAGGGCCGGCCGAGCCGCTGCCCAGGACCCTCTCACCGGGGCGGAGGCTCCCAACGCCTCTCAGCGACCTGCTCCAGTGTTTGGTCACCTCACAGGAAAAAGGTCATTTCTTACGTTTAAACCGAACGTCCCGTATTTCGGTTTGTGCCCCTTTCTTCTTTTACTCTCCGTGAGCACCACGAAGAAGAGCCTGGCTCCATCCTCCTTACTTCCCCCCTCAGGTATTTGTACGCACCGGCGAGACCCCTCACCCCCTGCCTTCCCAGGCACCCGTCACAACGTCCTTAGCTCGGACGAGGCTCCGGAGGACTCGATCATCTAATCACCGTTTAAGAACAGCTCCTGAGATGCTCCAGCTTGCTTCAGCCCAGGTCCCAAATAACCTCAATGCTGATTATCAACTCAGTACAACAAAGCAAAAGCTCATATTTATGCTGTATTTAAAACAAAGCCACGTTGGGACGTAACTGCTTTCAGCCACGAGTACTGTACGGGAACGTACTGCTCGCTTCCCCAGCGATTGCTCCAGCCTATCGTGGAAGCAAGCAAGAGGAAGGACACGCTGCTGCTTCACAAACGCTGGAGAGTCAAAGACAAGTGCAGGGCAAAAAAACTTCCACCCCACAGATGTGGCAGTTTTAAAAAACGTTCAAGACATCCAGGCATTGGGACAGCGGGAAAGCTGCAGCTGCCCGGTCAGCTTCGGGAGAGACGAACGGACCCCGTGCACCACCAGCGAGCCTCTTCTACGGGGCTGGCTCTCCCGGCTGCATCGGACCCCTCAACACACAGCAACGCTCTTAAAGCTGCTGGATCCACCGATTTTTGAAGTCAGCTGCCAGATCCCCAGGAGCTTTACTTAAGCTTTTGAAGGTGGGACTGGCAGTTTATCGGTGGGTTTGGAATTTGAATGGTGCCCATCCCACAGCGCTGGCGAGCTGCAACAGCGGATCAAACCGGAGAAACGCGGCTGCTGCCACACTCAGGCACCCATCCTGCAAGCTGCGTGACTTGCTCCTCAACTATCGCACTCCTCATCCCCATCTATCAACTGAAGCCACCTCTGGCGTCAGCTTATCTTACCCTGCACACGACAAAGTCGCACCGACAGAGGGATGGACTCACAAACAGATCAGACGTCCCTGCCCCAAGGCCAGGCTGTCTGACAGACGGGGCAGGCAGGCAGCAAGGGGCAAAGCAAATCCTAGGATGCACAAAATCCCTGGTACCTTGGCGGGACTGTGCCAAGTCCATCCAAGGCTCCGTCTGCTCCGATATCCAGCGTGGTTAGAGAATGACGCTGTGGCTGCAGCTCCAGGACAAGCTGTGTGTGCTACTGCCCTGACGGACCGGACCCAGGCTCCCATGCTGCACAAAACCTGCAGCGTACGGACTGTATCCGCAGCGCACGGACTGCATCCGCAGCGCACGGACTTTGCCTGGGATTTGCATTGGCACCTCAATACCTAAGTCAATATTTACGCTGGAGAGAACAGCGATATGCGAGGTCAGAGACCACCGTAGGACCTGGCATGTATTCAGAAGACAGGAGTCAGGACAGACACGGCTTAACGCCAGCTGGTATTTCAGAAACACCCCCCCCCCCCATTTTCGGAAATTGAATTAGCCCCGGAATCGCGTCTCCCTGTGCAAGCCGCAGGACCGGAGCTGCCTGGCTCCCCGGGGATGCTCACCTTTTTGGCCTCCTTTAAACGCTTCTGGAGATCAGCCTGTTGCTCTTGCATTTTGCTCTTCCATTCCTGCACCTGCTCCAGCTGGATCTTGTACTTCTCGAGCTCTTTAAGCTTTGCTTTGTCTTCATTTCGCTTTATCTTCAGAGTCTCCAACTTCTCCTCCAGGTCCCTGACTTGAGAACGCAAATTTTCCTCCTCCTACAACATCAAACCAAGAATTACCAAGAGGAGCAGCGACGTCCTTTGGAGAGAGCTCCAGGCACATTAATGTAACCCGCACAGAACCCGACCCATCAGCTCACGGGCATTTTGGCTTCGTTACTGGGGCAGTTTTAGAGGAACCCATCACTCTGCACTTGCAGCTGCAGACTCCGTCTGTCATTTTAATCTATTGATTTTTACTACGCATACAACGTGTGATAAATGTTCCTTGACACGCTGACAAAAACCTTTTGGCTGGCAAAAGGTCCTGAGCACCTCGCTTTTGACTTCACCGGGATCTATGGATGCCTAAATCCCTTAAAAACAAAATAACACCACGCCACACCCCCCAACATGTCCAGGTTCACCCCCGGCAGCTCTCCTCCTGCCCCTGGGGCCAGAGCAGAGCGATGCCGTGCAAGAATTGCGTTGGAGCAACCAGAGCCAGATCTGGCAGAAAGGTTCCACCAAAACAACGCGCGCGGTGGCACAGACTCACAGCGGCCAGTGGTTTTAGTTATTAGCGTGTAGTTCAGAAGCGTGCTGACACACAGACGTAGGGTGCGCCTCACACCGTGCATTCGTGCCGCGACATCGCCGCGCGCCGGGGGAGCTGCTCCCTTTCGTCCTCCCCCAGCAGCCACCCTACGGAGCACGTCTGTACGGGGTGGGGGTCCCCCTGCGCTCCCCACCCGGGGGTGCGTGGGCGTTGTGACCCACGGCGTCAGACCCGGGGCAGCTCCACGAGGGCGAGCCAGGTACAAGCCTAAAACCCGGGAATCCTCCTGCCTCGGCAGAGCAAGCCCTGAAACAGTCTCTGTGCGCCCCAGATCAGCTCTTGGGCGGCCCAAGACCTTCCCTGAGGCTTTTCCAGCCCGTTACCCGCACAGGGGTGGGCGCCTCGGGCCGTCCCTGCAGCGCCGCGGGCTGACCAGCACCCCTCTAGATTCACCCCCTTCTGCTCCAAGTGCACGTGGGCCGCCTTAGCTGGGCTTCATCGCGAAACCAGCCGTACCTGCAGTAAAAGCTACAGCTTGAGGAGGACGCTAACACGGGCACGCGATGGTCCAGGCGCGGCTGCGCAGTGCCACAGCACTGCAGCTGCGTCCTGCAGCCTTACCTTGAGACCAAAGCCCGTGGTGCTGCAATGAAAGCTGGCGCCTGGGAAAGGGACACAGGCTTGGGATTTCCAACAAGGTGCAAACGCAGCCCCCGCGGGGGTCACATCCCCCCGGCTGTAGCGGTTCCCCAGCACGAGCCTCACGCTCCAAGGGGGAAGGCACACCTGACTCGCCGTAAAACACAGGCGAGGCCGGCAGCGTGCTTCTAGGCGGCTGTGCTCTACCCGGAGAAGTGCCCGCGCAGGAGGGGACACGCCGCTCAAGCAGCACGACGTTACAGAGGTATTGCAAAGCTGTTACTGCAGAGCGAGTTAGGTCGAGGCAAAACCCTCAGCTCCCCGTCAGGGAGGTGACAGGGCGATTTCCACATGCACACTCATCAAACCAGAGCCCCGGGGCAGCAGTCACCTGGCCTTCGTGGAGACGCTGAGACGCTGCCGAGCTGTGCTGGAGAAAGAGAATATCTTCCGTTACACTGGCCTGTCTCCAACACAAATCATACATCTAAAGTACGCCGGTGCTTTACAGACTGGGAGAAAAACTGAGGTTGGGAGAGGTGAGTGGAGGTCTCTGCTCCACCTCCCTGCTCAAAGCTGCCCTGAGTAGATCCGGGGCCTCCCCCGGCCACGCTCCGGCTGTCACCAAGGACAAGGTCGTAGAACCACAGAACGGTTTGGGTTGAAGGGACCTTCAAAGGCCATCCAGCCCACCCCCCTGCCACGAGCAGGGCCATCTTCACCCAGATCAGGCTGGTCAGAGCCCCCTCCAACCTGGCCTTGAACATCTCCAGGGACAGGGCATCTACCACCGCTCTGGGCAACCCGTGCCAGTGTCTCACCACCCTCATCCTAAAAAATTTCTTTCTTAGATCTAGTCTGTATCTCCCCTCTTTTAGTTTAAAACCATCACCCCTTGTCCTATCGCAACAGGCTCTGCAGCCCCCCTAGACCCATCCCGGTGTCTGACCACCCTCACCGCGAGAGCTCTCCCCTCACCCGCCGCAACGTCTCAGGCTGCCACTCGCGCCTGTCGCCCCGTTCCCCGTCGCTGCGCACCTTTGAGGAAAGCCCAGCATCCGTGCCGTTTAAACAAAACCCCAGGTCCGCCCAAGGTCCCATCTCTTTTCAGTTCTGTACGGAAGCGTCAGTGCCCTGCAACAGACCCCAGGCTCCCCCGATACCTGGCCTTTACAGTCCCATTCCCCTGCCTGCAGCCGCCTGCCCGCGCCGCTGCCGCGAGAGCCCTTGCCAAGAGCAGGGCAGCTGCCCGAAGCCAGGACGACTGAGTCCTTGGGTGGCATGGCCCAGCCAGCCCCCCCAAGACGGCCATGTGCTCCTCACCAGCGCCCGCTCGATCCCACAGCAGCGGCCACGTAATCCCCCGGTGAGCTCCCACCAGGGAAACCTGATCCTGTATTTGCCGGTTCTTTTTTGGCCAGATCAGCTGCCACGGCCAGAGAAGCGCTGATGCCAGCGCTGATGCCAGCGCAGCGGTCCCCGGGCAAACGGCTGCGAGCAAGGGCAGGAGAAGGGGACGCGACCCCCCCTCTCCTGGCAGGAGCACGGGGTTAAAGCAGCCTCATGACCAAAGCTTAAAAATCATGAAGCTGGGTGACATTCAGGAACAGATTTTGAAAAAAATCCTACGTGATGTCAAGCAGCGTAGATTTCTCCACACGGATTTCTCCTCTGCTGCTTTCTCAACCCTGGACAGACAGGTGCCACCAATACCACCACGCAAACAGTTTTTGCAGCCGTTAGATAAACCCGTTGCCAGAGTCCTCGTGGGCAACGCGGGGAGCGGGGCCATCCCTCCTTCCCACCAGGCGGTGGCTTTTCCAGCCTTTCCCTCAGGCACAACCTCAGAGCGAGCTCTTTGTCCTCTCATGCTATTAATTCTTTGCCCTCATGCCCTAAATCTTTCACAAGCTCTAATTGTAACTAATTAATACAAAGCAGGACGGAAGTAATGAAAACTATTTTAAAGATCAAAAATGGAATAACTATGCTGATGTAATTATTAGAAACACCCAAGTTTGGGAAAGAGGGGACCTCTCTAAGCGTATTTGGCACCTGAAGGCAGGAGCGCTCCCAAAGCGCATCCACTGCTGGCCCCTCCGCCCCAGTTCACCCAGCACCAGTGGCTGGAGGGGCCAGCGCTCAGGCCCTCTGGATTTCAGGCGGTTGAGCTCTCCCCTCACCGGCAGGTTCAAGCTCTGACTCAGAGCCTCGATCCCCGAACGTCCGCCTGCCAAACTGCTCCGATGCCACGTGGATCCCACGGGGACCCGGGAAGGGCGAACGTGCATCGGGAGCCAAGTTAAGCACGGCATTCTTCTCTTTGGAAGTCTCTTTCCAGCTTTGGTGTGTCGGCCTCTGCGTTTGTGCTTGGCCGACTCCTCGCCAAGCTGCGCGCCCTCCTCTTTGTCCCTCGGCTGCCTGGCTGCTCTGCTCCTCCCGCAGACCACGGTGCCTAAACCCGGCACAGCTTTACGGCCGGTCACACGAGCCCTGCGCAGCGACCGCCACCGGCGCCGGCAGAGAACCCTTGCTCCCCTTTTCCTCATCCCCCTCCTACCAGTACCAGTGGCGGGGTTCCTCTCCTCCTCCCCTTAGCAGCTGCCACCCTCCGCTCCGGCAGAGCCCACAGCTTACCTTGGCCACAGCTTACCTTTGTGGGCGAGGGAACCGGAGGTGCCACCGGCGAGGTCAGGGAGGGCGTTGGGATAACCGGGGCCACCAGCGGTGTCTGAGCAGGCGTGCTGGGCTCGCTGCTGCTCATCTCCCCGCCGGAGGCAGAGGCTGAGCCCGAGGGCCCAGCCGTGCCGCTAGATGCTGCAGAATTGGGGGTCCGGGTGGGCTGCAAAACAACACGGCCAAGGGAGAGAGTCAGATGAGCACGTTTCAAGGGAGACAACGCTTCCACAACCGGTCCATCTCCCTGCACTCTTCGACACCACTTCAGCCACTGCGCTTTCCTTTCACCAGGGTGCTTCTGCAGGCCAACCGCTGTCTCCCAGACTCGCGCTTCCAGCACAGATGAAACCCAGAGTGACATCTCAGAGGTGCTCTAGGCTCTCACACACGGTCGGTACTTACCCGCTGGGACAGGGACAGAGGGGAGCTGGGACTGACCACAGTCCAGCCCCAACAGGGGAGCTTCCCTCGGGCGAGGGCTGCGTCAGGCACAACCCTCTGTTTTGGCAGAGAGCGCGGTGACAGCGGGGACGCCGACGGCCCAACAACTCTGGCTGGACAGAGCGCATCCGCGCCCTCGCCGTACCCAGACCTGCAGCGTGCCGAGGACCGGCACTGCAGAGCCTCCCCGGCAGCGAGAACGCTGTGATCTCCTGCTGCTCCGGGGGGAGTCTGGCTTGGCCAAAATTTCCAAATAATCGGTTGTTGAAGGGAAAGGTAAAATTTGATTACACCATTGACATAGTTAAAAAAGCAAAACGGATCTTTTTCTGAGCACACAAGCCCTGCTCCAGGCCTGAGACAGGAGTCCCTCTCCTCTCTCCTGCGGTAGCAGGGACAATAAAAGATTGCCTCTCCCTACAAACCGTGCCACATTTATTTCCTTGTGCTACCACACCTGCCTACGCTGCCGCTGCAGGTACCGACCCATCTCCTTGCTCTTCACAGCAAGGCCAGCTCGCACCCCGGGGTCCCGGGACAGGAGGGCAGACCCTGCCTGTCAAGTGAGCGTGTCGGAGGGGACCAGGGCAGCGACTAGCGAGGGTCCTCGGTCGTGTTCGCAGAGTGGAAACACGCTCCGAGGTTTCAGTGTTCCAGCTCCAGAGCATGAGACAGCAAAACCTCAAAGCACGCCGCAACGGGAGCGGGGAAGGTTTCGCCCCTGTCCATCCTCCACATCTGGAAACAGGAGGGGACCCATCTGCTGCTAAGCATCTGCAGGAGTCCGAGTCGGGTGCCACTGGCAGCTTGTTGGGGACACACCGCGGCAGACGCCCGAGTCTGCGCCCTCTGCCTGCAGCTACACCAGCCCCAAATTTTAGGGGAACAGAAGGAGAAAACGACAGAGTAGCAAGAGTTCACCAGAGCCCAGGGAAAACCAGCGGAGCTTGGAGGAACAGCGCAGCAGAGAGCTGCTTCGTCAGCGCTCGCGAGGCTGTTACTCGCCGGCTGGGAGCCCGGCAGCGAGGCTGGCCACGTGGCCCAGGTGACCAAGGGAAGCCGATGCCTGAAGGAAAGCGCCAGGTCCATCAGAAACCTCTGCTGTTCTCCTCACGGACGTGTATTTCTGGAGCGCTCACCTCTGTGGCACCTAATGCTGTGTAAACTCATTTCCTGACTTCTTATTTGACTCCTCGAGATCGGCTCTTTGGTGCGGGGCCGTTGGGCAAGGCGCGTGGCTCACGCCGGGCACGCGCCCGGGCGCTGCCGGGACGGGCGCAGCATCCACGCCTCCGCACCCGCCTGCCAAAGCGGCGGCAGGACACAGAAAGCAGGCGCTCGCTTGCCATGCTGGAGTCGGATCTTCTGCCGATTCCTAGCTTATTTTAGGCAAACCTCGGCTAACTCAGCTGCAATAGGTGAAACAGCCACGGACGGGCAGGCAGCTCAGCCTTCCCCTCCCGGGTGCGATCCCGGGCTCCCCCAGGGACGGTGCGAGCCCCTGCCTGGGAACAGGCTCCGTGGCACCAAGCCACACACGCTATCCCCAAGAAATACGCTACTCGAAACAAGGACATTGTTCTTGTTCCTGCTGCTTTGAGGATTAAAAACCCCTCACGGAGTGAGCCTTCGGCTTCCGTGGGGACAGAGCAGCATCGGCAGGGACACACCTGGTACGGTTCCACTGCTTATGGCATCTGAAGCGCCAGAAACCTTCGGAGACCCACGACTTGGCCTTGGCAGTCGGGGTCAGGGAAGGCCCGAGGGACGTGCTTCCTTCCAGAAAGGGCCAAAATGCAGCATGGCACCTCCTCGAGCCCTCAGCACAGGTACCGGACAACCTGCACTAATGGTTCCTATTGAAAATCCGGTCCCAGGAAGCCAGGAAGGCCCAAGGCGCCAGAGAAAGCGGCCTGACGGCTGACCCTCTCCGATGCGGACACATCTGCGAGCCCGACCAGAATAGGAGGCAACGGCTGGAGAGGGGCCCTCAGCGCTGCGGAGCGCCGGAGCAGCCGCTCAGTCCTGGCAACAGCTCTGATCTCAACACGCATGCAGGGGTGTCTGCAACCCCCTCTGATCCCTGCCCAGCGGGGATGCGAGGCCAAAGGAGCAGGAGCAGGTCACGCAGGACGCCCACTCGCAGCTCCTCTCCAGCACAGGCTGCAGAGAACAAGGACGAGAGCATCATTCAAACCGGGGGCAATGGTACGTGATCCACTGGGAGCTCTCCAGGACTTGCCTGGTAAAGGGTAAGCTCCCAGCTGGAACTGGAAACTGGCTTAAAATCCACACCAGCACGCAAAAGCTGCTTACCTTGAGCTCACTTCTCTGCCTCACTGCAAACGCATCCCATGGACCCACAGCAAAATCTTTGCCGGTCTCAAGCGTTCGGGGAGGGGGCATTTTAGGGAAATGTTATCCTACAGAAGGAGCGGTGGGCTCTCCTCCTCACGCTGCACTCACGCTTGTGTCACACTTTCCTCCTCCCCGTGCGGCCCCAGCTCAGCCTGGGCTCTGGCCCCCGGTGCCACCACGACAGTTAACGAGACGCTTTTCGGAGGGGAGAGCTAGCTGCCGGGCAGCTGGGATCCCAGTCGCCCTGGGACTGAACGAATGCGTCGCTGCCCTGGTCTGAGCTTCTTGTACAAGCCAGTGAAAATAAAGCCCTCCCTGCGGTGTACCCCTTCACAGAAGAGAAAAACACTTGTTCCCCATTTATCTGGCTATTAGAGAGTCCTTTGAGGATTCATCTCCCTTGCTTGCTCTCCTCCAGCCACGGGCCCCTGTGCAAGGCACGTCCTGCCGGCTAGGGGCAGACCTCAAAACGCGAGCCATTCTCTGTGCTGGGATCAATACAGTCCCGGGTGACACCTCTTGGCTCTTACCCCTCTCCTCCCACAGACACCCCCAAGATGCCCCTGAAAAGCGCCCCACACAAGCCGGGAACGGCAGTCCGTCAGGAGCGAGTAATAACGTCAACAGGGACCCTAAGCCGCGTGCTCTGCCAGCCAGACTGGGCATTACCGCACCGCTTTTACGCTCCGCTCCGTTAGGTGAGCTCTGGCCAAGAGCACCAAGCTTTTCTACAGACCGGGTAGGTTGTCCCCAGCGATTTAGACACGCTCCAGAGGAGCACACGACTCCCGTGAGCTCCTCCAGGCTCTGCAGGACGAGATGGAAGGACAGGAGAAAACGCGCGTTGGGGTTAGCACTCGTGGAGTTCGTGTTTAACACAGAGGGGATCCCAGTGCCCCCGACCGCTGCTGCTCACCTTGGGCCGCCGGGCGGTGGTCTGGAGGGCAGCGGGAGCGGAAGGCAGAGGAGGAGAGACATTCATACAGGGACAGACAGGAGCAGAGACACAGACCGCAGCAGCGCAGCAGCAGATGCAGCAGAGAAGAAGGTAAAGGAAACAAAAGACATCAGGGCAATTAGTGAGCATGGCATCAGGTGTACGAGCTCATTAACCCGCGCTCCCGGGGCAGCTCCAGGTGGAACCCTGCTAGGAGAGCTCCTGTGGAAACAGAGGAACAGAGCCCGGCGGCAGCCCAGCCTCCCGGTCAGGTTCTCGCCCAGACCAGAGATCGCCCATTGAGCTCCAGCCCCCTCAGCAAGGTGCAGGACCACAGAGCCGGGCAGACGGCCGATTCCCTGAATCCTGCGCCTGGAGCCCCCCCCAGCTCCGGCAGATGCCGGGGAGCCAACGCACCGCACCGTTCCGTTCTGAGAGATCTTTGGCTCCCAAGGCAAAATCTGGGCTGCCCGGGCTCAGCCTGGAACGGTGCAGCCGCCTCCCTGCGGAGCGGCTCGGGGCTCGCCAGGTTCCGCTGCCAAGGAGCGGGCTGAACTCAGCACACCTTTCCCAGAGGTCACTTGAGTGTGAGATTTCACTGTTTAAATTTTTAAACATTTTTTTCCCCTCCCCTCCGCCCTTTGTCTTTTGAAGGGACCGGAGCATCGCCGAGCCAGCTGCCCACAGAGGTGCCGGAGCCCCCGGGCTCTATTCCTCTTCAGTCATAAAACTCGCAGGGACAACATGGAGCTGATTCGCTAACACTTCCATCTTCTCTTTTCATTTCTGGAAATAAACGCACCCCTCGACGTCAAGGCAGGGCCCCAGCCCCCCGGTCCACCCACCGGCTGCACATGCAGCACAGCAGTAACGCAACCGTCACCAAGCCGGTGCCCCCGCGGCGAAGGGCGGGGAGGCCACGCTGCGCGCCTCAGCACGTCCTCGCCGCGCACTTATACATCAGGTAAGAAGTATTTTTCCCGTTGACAAATACTCCACCCATAACCGATAGAGCAACAGGTAGCAGTGAAGCCGGCAGCGCTCTCCTGCGAGCCGGCAGCGGGGAAGCTACGGGACCGGGCAGAGGGAGCGGTGGCGGGGGCATCTGCTCCCCAGCTGCAGCTTTACAACACCGGAGCGTGTTTTAAAGCTTTTCACGTTCTGCTTCATTTTTTATTCTATTACCTAATCCATAGCTTAAAGTAACCAAGAAGAGAACAGATCAATAAAAACGCTGCCGGATGACGCTCCCCGAGGACGCAGTCACGAGCGAGACGCTCGGCCGTGCGAAGCCCGTCGGCAGTCGCTCAGCCCCCCGTCCCAGGCCAGCGCAGCATCGCGTCCACTGCTACAGCTTCTCTCTGATGTCCAGAAGCAATGGCCTTATTCCCACCCAAGGCCTTGAGAAACCAGCTGAGAGATCTTACAGCTGCTGCTTTGGGGGTTTTTAAATATAGATTATAACTGGAAAGGTTATGAGTTCAAAATAGCCGATTATCTCCTGTATTACCTGCGCTAAATCCTATTTTGCTCACTTCCAGCCTTTTCTAAAAGGCTGCACTCAACAGGAGGCCCATTTCAATACTGAGGGCAGATCCCCGTCTTCCGTAACATCTTCTGCTTGGCAAAATTTGCCAGGAAAATGTAACGACAACAGTAAAAGCTTAAAACCCTCAGATAAATACAGAGCTGATTTAGGAGCAGTAGTCTAAGCTCTCCAGGAGTACTCCGGCATCTTTCAAAAGCCCTACTAAATAAAAATTACATTGAGTGGCTCTAAAAACCTGAAAAATGCTCTGAAAAGCCGCCTCGCCGGGGGACTCCGCAAGCCACGCAGAGGGAGCTGCTCCCACTCCCCGCCAAGCAGCGGGGCCCCACGCAGCGGGCAGCTCCGGAGAGCCCCCGGCGCCGGGCACGGTGCTCCCTGCCTTCCTGCTCCGTGCCGTCGGCACCGAAAGCGCCCCGGCGCGTGCCGGGCAGGAGCAGCCACGGGCTGGGGTGTTTCGCACCAGCAACCAAGTCTCCACATTCGAAATACAGCTTAGCGCTGCCCGCCGCAGCAGCTGGGCGTCGGGGGAAACTCAGCAAGTGACCGCTGACCCTGCTGGGCTGTGGGTGGGGAGACACCGAGCGTCTTCCCCAATGCAAACCACACCGAACCCTTAAAAAAGGGAGAAACCTCGTGGTAACCTTCTCTAAAAGCTAGCCACGCTAAACGACAGAGGTTAATCCTGGTTTCGTGCCTCCTCTGGTGCAAGGTGGAGTGCCATTTTGGTCCCCCTCCATGTAACACCACGTGAAGACCGTAAAAAGCTGAAGCGACAGCTGAACAACAGGAGCGGCTCCTTGGTGCGGGGGGCAGAGGCGCGAGGGTATGGCACCCAGCTGGCGAGGGGCCGGCGCGCAGGAGGGAGGCAGCAGGACTCCACCGACAAAGCTCTTTGCGGCTACGGGAGCACCCAGGAGCCCTGCTCGGGAGCTGGGAGCAGGTGCTCGCGCTTCTGCCAGACTCCAGACTATGGAGCCGCTCAGTACCAAATCTCTGGGCCCTCCTGGAGCCCGGGATGCTCTGCACCACCCAGCTGTGGCCATTAATATTTCATTTGGCAGTTCTGAACTCTGCTGCATAATGTTGCTGCATAAATATTTGATGGCATTATACAACCTTTGTTCCCTTGGCAGGTCCTGCACTCAGGAGCGTGGAGAGCATCTGGGGCTCCAGACAGACTCACTCAGACACAAACTTTGCTTCTAGCAGCAAGAAATCTGGCAAAACTCCTCCTGGCTACCAGCCGCCCACGATGGAGCCGGCACGGCCCGTCTCGAAGGTGGGGCTGCAGATCGCAAGTCCTGCAGGTCCCTCCCAGCTTGGTTCCGCTCCGAGCGCAGGAGTCTCCATCCAGACCCAGCCGGGAGCACCAAACGTTGGCACTGGCGTGGGCACGGACGAGCAGGTTTGTATTAACATCACCAGGCACCAGGCAGGACTGGTACTGTGCTGCTGAATGCTTCTGCTGGACAAAGTCTGAGGGCTCCTGATGCAGAAAAGCAGAACTTCTCAGACGGCGGTTGCTGCTGCAGAGATTTCCCACGTAGTTTCCGCGAGGTTTTGCAGCAGCGAGTGGAGGGGGCCGGCGTGCTCCCCCCGAGCGGGGCTGGCAGCGGCCGCAGCGGGCGCACGGGCGCTAACCGAGCAGAGGCCGCAGCTCGGCGCTGCCCGCCCGAGCGGGCGCAATGCCATCCCGCTCCCCGTCAGGGAGCTCGGCCTCTCGGAGGAACCGAGACTTCTCCAGGCAAAACCTGTTGGCGTTAAGGCTGCCTCTACCCCGCGGCACTCCACGCAGAAGGACGAGCTCCCCGGGGCGTTTTTCCCAGGACCATGTCACCTGCGTTGTTGCTGGGTATAGGCTACAAGAAACTTTGCATTTTAAACAACCGGCAACGCCTTGCACATGCACTCCCGGGCGCGATCCCGCACAGAGACGGCCTGTCCAAGGGGGAGTAACGGCAGGAAAAGCAGGATTAAATCCAGCGGCTGTGGGATTTGTAAAGCTGCCTGGCAGACAGGGCGCTGAGCGCTGGGCTGGCCCCACCGCTCCACCCTTCTGCTGGAGGCAGAGGAAAATCAGCAATTATAAAACTTTTCATTTGGAAGTGGATTAAACCGGAGCTCTTAAAGCAATCACCGCGTAACAAAGTATTTCACTGCGTTTGGTGAGCTCAAGGAACCACATACATAAATCAAGAGCGTTTACTGTAACGTTAATAAAACGGCAAAGTCTTCTCGCTGACACAGCACGGCCAGTGAAGTTGCACGTTTGTGCCTTTGGTTATTTTTATTTTCACTTCTTTAAGATCAGGCAAAAATTCTCCGGATTTCTCTTTAAGCTGAGCAGTGATATCCTGGTTAAGCTAAAAATAAACATATAGGACACTACCAGAGCACAAACCAGAGTCCGTGCTGTAACCTGCAGAAACGTCAGCTCGACAGGGGATCCAGAGAGGACAAACACTGGGAAATGCTAAAAGCAGGCAGAACCCACCGGCACGGCTTGCACGGCTAGGGCAGGAAAAACGTTATTATTAACATGCGACTTCCCCAAGCCAAGCACCAGCGCCTCCGGCAGCCGGGAAGGCACCGGAGCCCAGCCGAGCTGCAGAGATGCTGCATGCAACGCAGGCACAGACAGGTGAAATGGAGAAATGACTTCCACGGAAACTTGAAAGGAAAAGGCAGGCACGAAACGATGCTGCTTTCTCATTCAGCAACCCGCCCCCCCGCCCGTCCACAGGTACCTGAAACCCAGTCGAACTCACAGTTAAAGCGCAGCAGCGTTAACATACAAAAAAAAGGACAAAAAAGAGCAAACCAAGGTACGTTCAGAAGCAGCGTTAGCAATGACGGTATGAATACGGCAGCAGATTGTACCTTCCGTGTTGCTGGGGCCTGCCTCATCATGACAGAAAAGACAGACGGAGAGAGAGAGAGAAAG